CGTAATATTATAACGTCATATCTTACCGCCGGTGGTTTTAGTGTGAGGTGTTTTCCACGGACGGATAGAAGATTCTCGTATGATTTCCCGATCGAAATGTCACTCTCGAATTCTATCGTAGGTATTATTATACGTTTCGCCGTCGACACGGTGTCGGTGAAATGTATATAGCTGGGAAGTTTACTATTGAAAAGGTATTGCGACGAGCGATTTTTTTTTGCAGAAAAACCGAAAATTCCGAGATAATATTATAGCAGTATTTTACATATTATTATCATAGCAATTACCTATATATAAAAACCGATATCGTGTAGGTAATGTTAAATGTACGAGAGGCACACCATAATTTTCATTGTACTTATATGCAAAACGAATGAACGCGCATTAAAAATGGCGTCTATAGTTGGGGACGGGGTTGAAATCATAAAAAAAAGACATTCCTGAAGTGCACGCATATAGGTAAGTACCAACGTTTGATTAGAGGATATAATTTGAAAATGTATAATAATACAAACAAACGAACAAAATACAAAATTAAGACGCTAATAATATATATATATATATATATATGCATGTATATATATATATATATATATATAGTATAGGTATGCAATACAATAGTAAATGCAACTGGGACGAATTATAAAATAATAATAATAGTAATAGTAAAATTATAATATTTTTGCATAATATTATTATAAAATATGATAATAATAATAATAATAATAATAATAATAATAATATCATATCAACGACGGCGTTGGTCTCTAACTGCACCCACATCTGTCCACCACCATGCCGGGCAACAGGCCGTAGATAATGTTGAAGTCCTGGTCGAAGTACAGCATGGATATGGCGGACAGCTTGCGGGGAGCGCAGCACGGACCGGTGCCCGGGTACGCGCCCGACTTGTTGGTGAGCTGTGCGAGGTGGGTGTGCGGGTACTTCTGCAGGAACACCATCGGACATTCTCCCGAACAGTAGTTGGCCTCGTACTTCTTGGGTGCAATGATCCAGTCCCAGCCAAAATCCTCGAAGTCCACAGTCAAAGGGTACCGGCAGCATAGCTGCTCCTTTGAGTTTTCGTCGCAGTCCTTGCCAAGTACATTGCGTTTGGCCCGCGACCGACGTTTGTCTTCCGTGTGCACCTCCAGGTATGGGATCTGCGCAAAAACCCACACAGATCAATGACGACGTTGTCGGTGTGTAGGAATTTTGTTGGTCAGTGGGTGGGTCGGGGTAGGTTGGGTTCGTTGATCGATGACGTTTATTTATTTTTTTATTTTTTTACGGTTCTGGGCATGTTGGGTATAGGTGGTAAATATGATGTCCTACCTTCTGTGTGATTCTCTTCACAGAAATAACTCAAAGTTATCTCGAAAAGTGTTGGAAAATATTTTTGTTTTTCATAATGTTTTATACTTTGGAGTAGACAATTAAAAATGTATGCTGTTATTCCAAAAAGTAAAATAAAAATGTTGAAATTATAACGATACAAAAAAATATATGGTATACCTATTGTAAGAAATATGTATTTTCTTGTGAAAAATGATATTTCTTATAACGACCTCGAGTTATTTAAAAAATAATAATTATAAAAAAACGTTAACTATATTTAGTACCTATGATTATAAAACTCATAGAAGGTAATAACTTTTCGGTACACCGAGGAATCATTGTTAAAAGGATCGCATAATACAGCATGTGTGTAGGTACTCTTCTACTATACACCGCACGTGTAACGTTGTTATGTAATAATATTTAATAATATGTTATAACTTATAATAACAATATTATACTTAATTTATTATTATTATTATACATATTACATACGCCGTTCAACAGTATTGCGTAACACATTTGCCATCTAATATAGTTATTAATTTATTATCATATATTATTACTTTTTTTTTTTCATTGTTATAGCGTCGTTGGTCGGTGAATGATTATGTATCTAAGATCTACTAAAGGTACGATTCCATCGGACTGCAGCACGATATACTTCAACCCGACCGTGGTAATGCGCTGCAGCAGTTAAAATGGGCGCGTTATAAATACGTCGTAAATTCATGATATTATATACAATAAATCGGTACCATACTACCCACTGCATTTATAAAATCATAATAATAATAGTTATATGCATATTACGTAAAAATATGTTTCGTATAACAACACCTATATAGGTACGTAAAATTGTAATATAATAGGATGCGATTAGTTATATACATACTCGTATTATACGAGTACCTATACACATATTATTATTCGTACGTATATCGGAGCGACACAATCGAATCACTGGCTATGAGACGACCGGTGAAGCACTTATGAATTAAAATACTAATTATAAAAATAATGATGATAAATTATCGATGTTATATATTATTGTAATATTACATTATAGTCTCGCCGCCGCCGCCGTCTCTGAGAGGGAGGGCGCCTCCCGGAACGTTTTCTTGACGGCGACGGCGACGGCGGTGTATCATACAAATGTATAATATTATTATGGGTACTGGCGATTTCGATTTATTTTTTTTCCTCACTCGTAATAATAATAATAATAATAATAAAAAATACGCATCGGCTGGTTTCGCATTGTACTGTCGACGCCGCAACGACGTGCAATATAATATAAAAAAGTGTACAACACAATAAAGTAGGTACGACGTCCGACGTATAGACCGGTCGCGGATACTTTCGGTTTGTTCGGTCGCGTCGGATTATTATCGTTGAGAGTTATCGCACGATTTTTACGGACCGTGCATGATAGTGTACCTACATTATACAGTAAATGCCTTCGGTCCGGTCGCCGCATAAACGCCACAGCGTGGTACATAATATGCGATATTATATAATAATATCGCATATTATACTATTTTTTACACCGGAATATAAAATAATATATATAAAAAATATGATCTTTACGTTAAGTTACGTTATTATATACCAATTATATTTATATATTGTGTAGTATTACCTATACCCAATAGTCAATACAAACCGATTGGGTTTGCGTCCCGTCAGTACCGTACCGTTTTACATATTATATGTTATTAATATTTATTGTTAAGAGGACGTCAGCGCACTCGTTTTTTTTCTTTCTCGAGTCAACGTGCAACATGTCAAATTTGTGTTCAACAGAACCTATCTCGGGTAAAGATAGATTTAATGTTGATAAAGTGAATTGATTATTGACCTATTGAAAACTTGCATAATATGCGTCGACCATGAACGTTAATTTTTTTACGACATTTAGATTTTTATATGAACATTTTAAATCGTTATGTTCTGCATATAAATTTAAATACCCTAAGGAATCTAATGTACAGACAATATTTTAAACTTAAAGATTAATAATAAACTTGCACATTTTGAACGTAGGTCAGAGAAAAAATAAAAATATATTTACGGTGACAACCACTTATTACAAAAAAATAATATTTTTATGGATGTTTATCGCAATTCTCAACTCTGTTACCTCCAAGTTTCTTGAAACCAAACATAATGCCCAATTCATGTACAGTGATGTCGGGACCCGCTAACTTGACTAATTTTATTGTGTCGTAGTACCTCCACGGGGAGACTTCTACGGTGCGTCTAATCTGTTTTTATATTTTATTTTATTTATAATTTTCCATCAATTGTTCTTAAGGTCCTATTTTGAAATAGATTGGACAAAAACTTTTAATAATATATTATGGATGTGCATACTAGTTTCGTCCCTGAGTTTTTTTGCATTATTTCTGAATTGTTTATTACTAATAATATTTACCATTTTATCGTGTTTACCATTTATTAATAAGGACCTATAATATTATAATGGCTGTTTGTGTAATAATAACGATTTCTATAATGCTATGCGTCTGCGTCTATGGGAACTACTATAATATTTGTGAGGCTTTTCATTCAAATTTCAACGGAAAGTTCTACAATATGATAGTCTTCATCGATCTTTAAAAATATATACCTATACAATGAGATACCTTTATAAACAAATAAGAAGCATTCACTTAATAAATTGCAAAACAAGTATATTAGGCAAACATTCATTAGAAATTCTATGCACAACATTAGATAAAACCAAACTATGAAATATAATAAATTATATGAAAAAATTTCAAATAAGGTTCTACTAGTGACTAAATATGCCACAATATGAAACAATACGAGAAATTAAAAAAAAATATAGCAAACATTGAAAAATATACATAATATACAATATAAGAGTTTATTATTTTTGATCAGTACATGTCTGATACGTCCTTCAAAAGCTGGCCCATAATTATTAGTAAAAAATCTCGAATCGAGATTAGGAATAACTTTTTACAGCGGACTGCGGTACGCAACTAGAGTCACTGCTATCATAATTATGTACGTTGTAATCTCCGGATATACTTAGTAAGGGTATTGTAAATAGTCACTGCCTATCAATGAACGGAGATTATTTAAAATATAGATATAAATTATATAATTATTATAGTAGGTATATGCATAGACGCAACTAGACTTCTAAAACGTGGGGTGCTATAGGTACTATTAAAAACATAAAATTGATGTTATTTCATTATAATTATAATAGTTAGATCTAAAATATCAAGGGGTGCTAAATTAGAACTTGTGGGTGCTAAAGACCCTTTTGCACCCCCCTAGTTGCGCCAATAGGTATATGTACTCTACATATGTCTATATAAGTCTATATAAGTCTATACTCATATTATAATACGATACGAATTACTATTCAATCGTTGGACAAAAGTAATAATTGTTTAATATTTAGTTTATTCAAGTCCAGTCGTAACATTTTTAATTTGTTTTAGAAACTATTTCTACTTATAAAATAAAATACATCTATACATTTTATATATATATATAATATTTTAAAATAATGCTACTTGCTAATGTTTTTTCTTTAGTTTTTTGATTTTACATTTTGAATTATAAAATCTATAAAATATTATACAGTGTTTTATTGTACATGTAAATTTGTCGACAAAAAAATTTAGACGTTTTGCATGAGCTAGCCTTGCACGTGGAAATCGTATACTACGTACTTAGCTCTATCATCCATTTCATATTAAGAGGACTTCACACGTATGACAGAGAATCTTCATTCACCAGTTCCAATAGTGTGCTATTAGTATTGACATTAGAGGGTATGTTAATTTACATATAATGTTATTAGAATTGAATATTGATCTATTACACAGTTTGATTGTAGTAGATTATTATCTAAGGCTTTTATTTATAACATTATTTTTATTAAAGTTATTATCATTTTAAAATTTACAGTGTCAAAGAGGTCATTACTTATTTAAAAAAATATAATATTAATAAAAGCCTATGTGGGGTTCTAGATAGATATATTATTACCTTTGAATTTTATAATAAGTTCAAAACTCTCACAAATATCGAAACTGACAGCTCACTATTAAAACTGGTAAATAAAAATATATTCTACGGTCATACGTGTGTAAGACGGAGAAAACACATGAGCATGCGATATCCTCTTAATAATGTGAACTGTAGAATGGTTAATTTTTTCGTCTATATAAGTAATATTATAATTTATAGTATATAAATAATTCACAAATATATTTCATAAATAATAACAATATAATACTAACTATGACACATATTATTAAATCGTATATTATGAAATAATTGAGTAGTCTTATTATTAATGATTATAACTATTATAAAATATTAGATTACACGCGTCATTGGGCGACATGTGGAATGACAACGACAGAAGAGGCGGCGACGCGAAAATAAAAAGATTCCGTTTTTAAAAAAATAGTAAAATAATAAAACAAACAAAAAAAGTGTATTTACAAAGAAGCGCGTTGCGAATAAATATTTTTTATTTTTATTTTATCGTTACAATATGAATAATATTTAATTCGTGGACAACGCGGAATACATCGTATATTATTAACATAATAATATCGAAAAATTCTAATGTTATCTGTAATTCACGTTATATAAATATAGGTTACGTTTTTCACTTATATCGCATTTTAGCGATGGAATTATAAACATCATGATATTTATACCTAACAAAATATCATCGTGTAGAGCGAAAATAATCAATGTGTGTGTGTGTGTGTGTGCGTGTGCGTGCGCGCGCACACAGGCACGTATCAATGTATCATGGGGGTCCGTGTAAATC